CAACAATTATCCATCGGCACACCCTATATACGCACATACGGCACGAACAAGTTCTCGGAACAACGAACTCTTAACACTTTTGCACGGGAGTTGGGAAGAAAAGACTGATGACGTTGGGTTTGAACGATCATATTAGCCTTGAGAAAAACTAAATGGGAGCCGGTCGAATACGTGAGACTATATACTGATGTAGTCACCTTCATCAACAATTCCCTAGGAAAGCGTCTTGTTTGCGTTTCCCTTTTATATAATTTGTAGCATAGATTGCGATTTTCATCATCCTCAACCTAGATAACGAATTTCATACTTTGGTAAAACTTTACATGACTCATGCAATGCCCTAATGCCCAACTCACCGCACCGAATTCGCCACTTTTGAGCAAAGCTATTCCTGTGGGATCAGATACATTTCTCCCCAAATTTCTCCGACTCCTTGACGCTGATTGAGGTGAATGAGCGACGGATGTCACCAGGCCAAACAGTCTGGTGAAATGAGATGCTCGCGTTATTACAACGGCCGCTTCTGTATCTGTATCATGTATGTTGAGTTTTTTATAAATAGAGTCATAATTAGCAAATGAATTAGATTATTAATTAATTAATTAATTTACCTGAGCCACTCTCTTCGCTGGTGTCTTCACCTAGATTCAGTGAGTTAGTCCCGCTTATCCTTTGTTCTGCTTCTTCAACCTCTTCTAATTCGTCGTCTTCGTCGAAGAATGAGGCCATACGGTCTGTATTCACTGTTTGTTTAGATTCTCTGATCTTATCGATTGGAGTAATTGATCGATGTCTGTTACTATGTACGACTGCATTTACAAGGGTATGAGCCTCAATGCAAGTCGGCGAATACAAGCAGACCAATATTGTTGCTTATCTTGTAAGATAAAGTGTTCATCACATCACAAGAGCAGATAACGAACTCGTAGCAAATGCTTGTGCATTCCGAGCCAGTTCTGCGTGACAAGGTCACATGCACTGATTTAGACAGATAAAGTTTTAATTATTATTATGGCTGGTATGTTTTTACTCAACATTTTATATTTTGCTCCATTTCTTGTGCGTAAGCGAATGATAGAACAAAATCTTTTTAACCAATTAGAAATTTTTTGAGTTTTAGGCATTTCAAAAATAATAATTTTCTTAACGTTCTCACTATTTTATTAATATTCTTTGATTCATTTCTCTTCGAACGCTATAAGGAAACATAGGTATAATAATAACGAGTACAGCAAGATCTGGAAGAAGCAGATGTCTGATACCATACAGGATAATCGAGGATGCTCTTCAAGCGCGTTACGAACGATAAAGCTAAATGTGCTGTATAACTTCAGGAGAGATCGAAAAGAAGTGACAATGAGTATGACAAAGGACATCTGTCGATGAAACTAATGAGAACACATTTCGGATGAGCAATAGATGATATTAACATATTGTATGGTGGAGATTTATTGGAACGTGTCCTTTTAAATAAACGTAGAGTTTGCCTTAATACTTGTTTTGGCTTGGGTAAAACAGCTTATACTGGGCTTTAGCGATCACCTCGCGGTGAACAAAAGTTCCTCGCGAATCTCTTTGTTTTCGTGTAACGAGAACGAAAAACCCCCTACCGCCTTAAAACTTGGTAGCAATTCAATATTAATATTACGATAATAAAGCTTTACAGCGGGACGTTGTAACTTGGTAATTTGATAATCGTTTGTTACGAAAAATTATGTTAAGAATTAAGAAAAGTCGCCAGCGACAAGAACTACGTAATGGCGGTAACTGCAGTGACAATTTACAAAATAACATTTATTCGTTAGCAATCTTCAACAAGTAAATAACTACATTTTGTGCCGATATTCCCTATAGGATATTCGATATTCCTCACTGCATCTATATATTTCATCATCCTCTATTCTTTTATTGACATTTGCTTTTATCACGTCTTAAACACAAATTTATCGTAGGTATTAATATCAAATTAATTGTCAAGTCACAGTATTTGCGTATTGTTTCTCTTTCTTGAAGATTAATCTTTCGGCGGTTTGAAGAGAGTTTTGCTAGTCATATGCAAAAGATTTGATATATACGTATATACAGTGTCTCTGGTCACAAATATTCCATAACTTTGATAAGCCGCATTATTTCAGATAATTAAATGCTTGTTTAAAAGCCAAATAACTAAACCAATTTTATTTAAATAATAAGTCTAATTAAAATAAACCCATTTGCAAATGTTTTTTTATTATAAATGTTTGGCACTTTAGATAACAATTAGATTTAGTTTTATGACCAGGAAGAGTCTAAATATTATTTTATTGTAACGCTCATAATTATTTCGATAAAAGGCTGATTAAATTAAAATTATATATTTTTGTTCAAAGTTTGTTAGCAATAAAATTGAGAAAAAATCCAAAGTCTTCCGCAAAACCATATCAAGTTCCTGAAATTACCTAAATTTCTGCGCTCGTTTTTAAGAATAACCTCTTCCGCTTCTTAATTATTCGATTGCCTAGATCTTTAAAAAAAAGAGAGAGGGTGGGGGGTCAGAACGA